TGATGAGCTTAGTACTTATTTGGACTGAAACCATATACTGCGGTCGGCGTATAGAGAAAGGAAGCCTGTAATTACGTGTCCCCTTCCATGAATTGTCACAATGTAAGGTCGCATTCCATTCAACATTTAATTCCCTTTCAATGCAATTAACGTAGCACATCCAGTGGCTGCAAGGAACGCATGAATGTGTTACGTGCAACAAACATGAGTTAAAACATACTGATCCAAAACAAGTGATTTGAAGTGCAAGTCGTGAGCATAGGAATAAAAAAAATTGATGAATCAATGCAGAATTAACGCAGCTGGTAAAGTAACACTGATGTCACCACAGTAATTCAAAATGTGAAACAAAGAAGAAATATTTACTTTTACTTCCTTAATGAGGGAATTTTTATTTATTCTAGACGTAATAATATCCGATTACCAACATGCAGTGCGTGTTTGGCTCAAACCAGAGCCATCGCAACACCAAGTGGGGCACTCTGAGGACTGTGGAAAGATGGAGCTTAGAGTGATGCAGAGGGAGACCGATATAGACATAGTGAGACAGATATGGAGCGACAGACACACAGACAAATAGACAGGGGTAACAAGGACAGAGACAGATGGAAACATGGGAAGAGACACAGTGAGCAAGAGAGAAAAATAAACAAACACAAAGGGAGATGAATGAAGGGAGACAGTGAGACAGACATGGAAACAACCAGATATAGATGAGACACACACAGAGGGAGACATTTTTTAAACGTAACAGACAAGAGAGATGGACAGAGACACAGAGAGAAGGACACAGATTCAAAGAGAGTTGTGGTAGGGGAGTCTCTATGGAAGTTGGAGTGTGTTTTAATTGGGCACCAGACCAACTCTGACTCCATCATGGCACAAACTGACCATTAACCAGAATTACACGTGGCTCCAAATTTCAGAGTAAAGCTGCTAAATCCCAACTACATCATGACAAAATCACTTGGCTTAGTCACTCCACATTTTGCACTCGTATGACGACTGGAAAGTTAGCTCTTAAATTAGGTTACACCACAAACTAATTATCCAGGGATATAATGTGATGCAGCCCACCGTTTTTGCTAATTACAGTGTGCATGTATGTATGCAGGAATCCATAAAGCTATCAGCCATTACTAAGGAATGATAATTAGACAGCCAAGGAATGGAACGTCCCGCAATCAGAACGTGTGCAGGTGCTCAGCGAATTGTTAAATGCAGAATAATGACAGGTGGTACCAGGACAATTCGGAATAAACATTGAGCAAAATCATTTTTTTGTAAGAAAAAAAATAACCCCAGCTGCCACCATTGAGATCCTTGGTTCAAACCCAAGTGAGATTCAACTGGGTTCTCAAGTGCAGTGAAGTTTATGATCTCATACCGGTAATCAATGTCTGCGCACAAAAAAAATAACTTTTAATTTGGTCGAGTACTTAAGTTGGCTGCATTTCCAGCTCCAACAATTAAAATGATCAATTGGACGGAGGTATCTCCACTGAGATCTGCTACCGAGGGCTGTTTCTCTAGACACCCAGGATCGCACTCCTCTGAGAGATTTGCATGGATACTTCGTCTCATATGGGACCAATGGAAACTTATCAAGCCATGACAGAAAGAGCAAAATCAACATAGAAATTTACGTTAAAGTACATTCTTGACTTAAAGCTTTCGTGACTGCAGGAATTCATATTCTTTGGGTCTTTCGGTAAAGCCACGTAGATAGAAAAAATAATAATAAAAGATATCACGACGTTTCGATCGCAACACAAGCAATCTACATCAGGTGAAAAAATAAAGAGGGAAAGCTGCTGAGGCAGGAAAAAAATGTTTTCCTGCCTCAGCAGCTCTCCCGCTCTCAGCAGCTCTCCCGCTCTATTTTTTCACCTGATGACGATTGCTTGTGTTGCGATCGAAACGTCGTGATATTTTGTATTTTTATTATTATTTTTCTATCTACGTAACTTTACCGAAAGACCCAAAGAATATGAAAGTACATTGAAAAAAAATAACCATCTAGCGCTAATGACACCACACATACCCTCTGGTTAGCTTCATGTGTATATTGTACAAGTTCATAAAGCCTGTCTTCACCAGGGAAAAGTTTTCAATAAATATAGTAATAGTAATTAACACAACTCCAAAAATGTATTTTTCCGCAAAAAAACTAATTGTTGACTACTTGGTAAAATTTCTTATATTTAAATACCTATTCATCGGAATCCGCTTGATTTAAAGATTCCGTTCTTATCTTTATTCGAAAGAACAAAAATTAATGAACTTAATACTCTAGGAGAGGAAGCTCCTGTCTTTTACCATTTAAGAATTATTCAGATTTCAACATCATAAAATGGTTCTCGCTTAAATTTTATTTGCTCTATCAAACGAAAATAAACCGCAATCTTATATTTTGAACATTTTCTGAATGCCACCAGGCACAAACATGTGTATGGGGCACTTAAAATCTAGATTTGGGGGCTTTAAAATAAAAAAAATCTCGGATTTTCATATTTTCCTATTGTGTCCGAAAAGCTAAATGTCAGCTTTCTATGAAATCTCAGCTTTCTAACTGGTCGGGAGGTACCCTATAGGTTTTTGAGACAGACAGGCAAAGGTCTTATTTATACAGACGATAGATAATTTGCTCCCAAAGTAAAACAGCATCATGACAACTGCATCTGACAGACGTGTGTACCAGAATAATTCGACAAAATCCAAACACTACAGTCATTCAATTATTTACTGCAGCCCATTACATTAATTACCTATTCTGACCAAGTTGAATAGTAACAAGACAATCAATCGTTAACCTATGTTGACTGATAGACAACATTAATGACTGATTTTCATGCCTAATCTACCCTCTCAACGGGCTCTTAATAATCGAAAATAATGCCAAGCTTATTCTCAGGAAACCGCCGAATAAAGACCACTCCGCATGCCGTGTAGATGCCACGGTACCCGATTTAGACATTTCCCAGGTAAGAAGACAATATAAAGGCAAAGATCCCAATATAGAGACACGTACCAAAGTGAACGAGGCCGTCGTGGATTCTCTCTTTCGTTATCACACTCTTGTTTGTTTCGATTTAAAGCTTTCGTGACTGCAGGGATTCATCTTCTTGGTTCTTTCGGTAAAGCCACGGAGAAGGGAAATAATAAAATATAAAACATAATAAAACACTTTATTTTTTATTGTTTTATTTTTATTAATTTTATTATTTCCCTTCTACGTGACTTTACCGAACGAACCAAGAAGATGAATCCCTGCATTCACGAAAGCTTTAAATCGAAAAGTGAACGAGCACTGTTTGCGAGCACCTATTGAAGCCAGCACGGTGCGCGATGGGGTGAAGCCACACAAAAAAAGCCGTCTTTGTTTCCCTAACCGTTGTTTTACACACAATCGAATCAAAGCTTTTGGAGACGCCAGGACTGGCTGAAGCCATCACCACCGGTCACTCATCTCGACCGTGACACGGAATCAAACTCGAGTCAGTCCGGCTTCATAGCGCACTACGGAAACCGCATTACAGCGCCACCGCTCCCACCTTTACACGCACACAGTATATTAACAACAACAACAAACAGCCGGTTGTGTATCCACTGACGGATGAAGGTTGTCGATCATCGCGTTGTTTGACCACGCAAAATCACGCTGGCCAATGCGGGGATTTGTGACGGTGATGGTGGTGGCCTTCTATCACGATCGATTCAGACATCACTCGCTCACTCTTAACCTTGACCGGGAATCGAACTCAGGCTTGCCGGGATCATATTGTTAGCGTTGCTTGCCACTACTAAACTGTGTACACACACACATACAGGCGAACTGTGGGACTCCGAGCTATGTACGATACACTGCGTGAAAGGGCACAGTCCTGCAACTTCTTTCTCACGCCACTGCCAGCAAAGCAGAAGGATCCCTCCACAACTCGAGGGAAGCGAAGCTCTCGAGACAACTACCCCCGCAAGTCTGGGAGGAGAGTATTTGGCCTACTTTTCCAACGTCCGTTACAGCTGTATTGTGGAGCGGTGCGAGTGACCCACACTTTTATTCCACCACAAGCGACCTGCTCCAATCGATCGGCTGTGCGCGTGCACCATGTACACAGATAACGAAGCAGGTGGGGTGGGAATTTACAACTACATTTGGCTTTTACATCAACTGCCCCGCCTGGAGGTAGACTCGAGCCTGCGGCCTCTCACGTGCCCATCACACCACCACCACCAAACACTGTGACAACAGCAGCAGCAGCACTACAGCGCACTGTACATGTACAAAATGGCGACGCGTTTGTTAGGCAACTCTTGACAGAGACGAGGTGGTGGGGAAGACGGAGAATTTCGATCGTTCCTCTCCCATAACTCTCGATCCCTTCCCCCTCTCCACTACCCCCCCCCACCACCCCCCTGGACTTTAACACATCGCAGATTCGACCCGCGACCGAGGAGCCGCGTTAAAGCGCACAACTTTTCACGCTAAATGCGTCGGGTCCCTTTCTTTCACATTTCGGGCGAGTGGTGGGAGACGCTGCGGCTGGTAGACCACCAACCCCACTACACCACCGGACGCGCCACGCCGCCAAAGCAACTCTTCAATGAATCGACGTTCAACCTACGCGTGAAAGGGCTGGGTGGTGGTGGTGGGGGGGTAGCCGTTTACGATTGACGTTTGCGCTGCGAGCTCGCAGCTCCCCTCGCCGCAACGAACAAACTCTGCGAGGTGAACCGGCCGGGGTGAGGGGGGTGAGAGGGTGACGGTCTACGGCTCTCGACGAAGCGGCCGGGCTAACCACTTCTCCGCGCCGCCCGTCACTTCCAGTAAGAAAAAAAGGCCCCGTGGGAGCCGCTTTCCCCACGACTCGTCGGACCGCGCGTTCACGGCGTTAAAGTTCGACTCTCGCTGCGGCCCCACGCGATTCGCGGGAGGTGGTGGAGGGGGGGCGCGCCGCCTCTCCAAGCCACCGCGACATCGGCGTCAGCCGGGCCCTCACCTCTTTTTCTCTTTATCCGCCGACATCGCCGCGAAGACGCGAGGCGCACAAAAGGCTGTGGCAGCGGCACGCGCTGGCGAGGCTTTGACGAGTGGCGTGGAGGGGGGGGAGGCGGTAGAAGGGCTGCGCGTGCGTAATGACGTCACGGCGAGCGCGGTGACTTGCCGTCGGTTTACGATGTGTGGGTTGCGCGATGACGTCACGCGCAAGGTGTTCGCGTCGTTGCCGACATTACGTTGCGCGCGATGACGTCACGCGCAAGGTGTTCGCGTCGTTGCCGACATTACGTTGCGCGCGATGACGTCCCGCGCAAGGTGTTCGCGTTGTTCCAGATTTTACGTCCGCGCGCGATGACGTCACGCGCAAGGTGTTCGCGTTCCCGATTTTACGTCGCGCGCGATGACGTCACGCGTAAGGAGGTCGCGTTCCCGATTTTACGTCGCGCGCGATGACGTCACGTGCAAGGCGTCGCGTTGTTTACGACGGAACCCCTGTGCGTGATGACGTCAAAAATAACAAGGGGCCGGGGTGACGTCACGCGTGCGCGGCCTCGTTTATATTTTAATCAAAAGCAGGCGAGGGTAATGACGTCACCCAGAATATGTATGTCTATGTCAGCGACTTCTGCTGCAACGCGATAACAATCATGCAGAGAAACATCCCGCACATAAATCGTAGATCATTAGACAACAACAGCAGCAGCAGCACTGGCTTTCGTCAATAATATTAGCTTATTCATAATAAAGGTTTTTGGGTTAGATCGCGTTTATTTATAAATGTGTCGTAACCCTCCACCACCCGACACGGCCAATCAGCAAAGAAAAGTGTCACGTTGACAAAAGACAAATAATTCACTACTTCAGCCCACCGGTGTGTTGAAGAGTTAATCCACATTTACAGTTTGAGTACGACGTTTCGCTGGTAAATACTTCCAGCATCATCGGGCAATTCGCCAGAATGGTAAAGCCCTCGCTTGCTCCCGGTTTTATATAGAGCAGAAGAGTGACGTCATCACTTAACTCATCAGGTGCAGTGATTAGAGGCGGAGGGGGGGGGGTAATGTAATTATATAATCGATTAGTAATCAGTCATTGGTTATGATTAGTAATGAGTTGTAGATTAGTAATTCTTTAAATCAAAATGTAATGTGTATTATTTAATACGATATTTAATAAGATATTCCGAAACTTGCTGGCCATTGCTTAAATAACACTTACTTCTTATGGAGAGGGGATTTCTTTAAACAAAAGGAAGGAGCAGCAATGGGTTCTCCTTTATCCCCTGCTATAGCAAATTTGTACATGGAAAACTTTGAAATAAGAGCACTTGCCTCGAGCACATTAAAACCATCCTTTTGGTTTAGGTATGTGGATGACACTTTGGTTGTCTGGCCACATGGTAAAGATACACTTAATGATTTTCTAAATCATCTCAATGCACAAAACCCGGCCATCCAGTTCACCATGGAAATGGAGGTGAATAATACACTCCCATTCCTAGATATTTTGCTTGGACATGGCCTAAACGGTAAAATAACACACAGCGTTTACAGAAAGCAAACGCACACTGATGCCTATCTGAATGCAGAATCACATCATCATCCAGCTCAAAAATCCTCTCTTATTAAGACGCTCGTGCATCGGGCGAAAACAGTGTCAGATGGTGAGAGTCTAGTGAGAGAGATTAAACACGTTAAAGACGCACTACGACAGAATGGCTACAATAATGCTCAAATTAACAGAGCACTGAATGCCAAATCACGATCGCAAAGCAATACTACTGAAAGCGACCAGATTGTTAAAACAATAAAAATTCCATATATCTCAGGAGTAACTGACAAATTAGCCCGCGTTTTGCAAAAGCAAAACATTACAGTAAGATTTGGTACAGTACACAAAATTCAAAAACTAGTATCTTGCACTAAAGACGCATTACCTAAACTATCAACAGAAGGTGTATATCGGATTAATTGTTCATGTGGCAGCTGCTACATTGGGCAGACGGGACGTAACATCAGCGTAAGACTAAAAGAACATCAGAGAAATATTAAATTATCTCAAACACAACTGTCGGCAGTGGCAGAACATGCTTGTCAACAAGGACACTCAATTGATTTTGACAATGTTGCAGTGGTGTGTAAAACTAATTATTACTGGCAAAGACTAATTAGAGAATCCATTGAAATTGAGAGGAACAAGAATAACTTTAATCGCTCTGACAGCTACCGGCTCAGTGCGGCCTGGAAGCGTATTATTAAATAATACACATTACATTTTGATTTAAAGAATTACTAATCTACAACTCATTACTAATCATAACCAATGACTGATTACTAATCGATTATATAATTACATTACCCCCCCCCCCCTCCGCCTCTAATCACTGCACCTGATGAGTTAAGTGATGACGTCACTCTTCTGCTCTATATAAAACCGGGAGCAAGCGAGGGCTTTACCATTCTGGCGAATTGCCCGATGATGCTGGAAGTATTTACCAGCGAAACGGCGTACTCAAACTGTAAATGTGGATTAACTCTTCAACACACCGGTGGGCTGAAGTAGTGAATTATTTGTCTTTTGTCAACGTGACACTTTTCTTTGCTGATTGGCCGTGTCGGGTGGTGGAGGGTTACGACACATTTATAAATAAACGCGATCTAACCCAAAAACCTTTATTATGAATAATATTGGTCGCGAAAGCCTACGTGTTAAACTGAATATTAGCTTAAAAAGAAGTTATGTACATTTTGCATAGCACATAGGGCTCGTGGATATTGACGGAGTTGGAGAATTAGGTTTGCTCAAAATGTTTTCCTGACGACCGATCTTTGAGTCTGCGTGTCAATATTAGTCAACAAATACTGCAAAAGACATTTGAGTTTATTTTGTCAATTGTGCGTCACTGCTAACGCATCAGCAGCAGCATCGCCAAACAACAACATGGACAATAACAGATCGTGAACGCACGACAATTGTATTGACAAAGGGCTGCAAGTTAAACTAATATTAACAATATTAGTATCGCAATATCATTCACAGATTTGTATCGATCCACTGCTGGAAGAAACCACCTCGCCACGTTTGCGTCCGTCACTGTTGCATTGTTCGCCCGAACAATAGAACGCGGATTTGTATGTGTACGTTGAACTTCTTTCACACCGTACGTATCCGGCCGTGCTCATTGGAGGTGCGGGGGAAGGCCAACAAACCAAACACAAAAAAAGCAGTTCTCAAGAAACGAGTTTCAAATTCTGGATCTAAATGTCCACAGCTCGCAGTGGCGTCCTAATGTGTGGCGGAAGAGAGCGTTCCAGACGGTCGCCGCGCGACGCCTTTGTTCGACGGTGAGCCAAAAGCCGCTGCGAGTGCGACCGGAGTTCTCTCCTTGACGAGGTCAGCGAGGTACCTGTCCGTGGTTCATTTGTACCGAGCACTTTGTGTGTGCGATGAGTGCGACCCTACTGTGGATTCGTTACGCAACCGGTAAGGCAATGCAGCTCGGCGAGCCACGGTCAGATTTGCAAAGCGGAGTCGAAATGCGACTGCATCTCAAGCTTATCTTCTTTCGACATCTGCATCACAAAGCCCCAGTTTCGGCCCGAGTCGTTGCCTCCAAGCGCTCCCTCGGCTTCCCAACTTTACCTCCCAGCCCACACCCCGCTCACCACGCTCACCACGCTCACCATGCCCTCCCCCCCTCTCTCCATGCCCCGTGACTACTATATAATCCCTCGTCACAGCCATCTCTGAGACACACGTCCCCACCTGAAGAAGGACGCTTGTGTTGCGCCCGAAACGTCGTGATTTAATTTAGTTTTCATTTATTTCATTTTAATTATTTTTACCCACGTGACTTTACAGAAAAAAACAAAGAGTATGCATCTCAAGACGTTGCACAGACGACACACGGGGTGTATTTACATTGTACGGAGAGAGGCACTCGGTGCTGAACTTGAACTTGACCAGGGGTCAAGGATCCATCGAGTCCGTGACCTGAACTTCCTTGCTGTGCTGCCACCTCCTGGTCCGATCGTAGATTGACTTGAAAATGTTTTGACTCCCAACACGATACAAAGTATGGTCTCGGAGGAAATGCAAAAGTACCTGCAGCCCTGTCGTGGTGGCTAGCAGACATTGCCGTTGGAATTTATCTGCTGAACATATTAGCTGTCATCAAGCGCGAGAATATAGTCTTTGATGGTGCCAGCCGACTGTTGACTGCCTTCTTAATTTCACTGTGCTGCTCCCTGTCGATCATATAACATTGCCTTCTGAGCAGACTTTCCTGCTCACTCCTGAGTACGGGTGACATCCGTGATGAAACTCCTCGAGTCTCCGTGATCTTGACCTTTGACATAAACATTGGAGGGCTCATTGCCCTGGCGCAATATTTATGACACTGAACATGCAATCCACGGGATCGGAGGTCATGGCGGGGAGGTCTAGTCGGGGAGCATAGACGTTGCAGCATAGTACGGTACAACAATTGGCTTTGCAGTTGCACTGCCCTCTACCACAGTACTCACTTCGCCGTGCTCCGCTCGTCACTGCAGAGCCATTGCCTCTAATGCTGGACATGGCCCATTGCCTGAACGTCGGGGGAATGTGCCAATTAGGCATGCATAATGCTCCGTGCACAGATTAAATTAGGGAGAAGCGGGAAGAGGAACACGTGGATTATAGAACATACGCAAGTTGGAGAGGTCATGCTGACTGGTACGAGGGTGGGGGGGGGGGGGCAGGAGGCGTCGCCAGAAGAGAGGGTGGCCGATGGTCGAGACTAACTACAGAGCGGCAGCCAAAGGAGCGAACGGGCTCGAGAGAACATCCGGCGTGGAGAATGGAGCGATGAGATAAGATCGTGCGCACGAGCTACAGATGGAGCGCTCAGATTCAGAATCAGTATTTATACTGGAGGAATCCGATGAGCTATAAAGCTCTTTTTCACAGATGTCCAGTAGGAGCGGGTCACAACGTTACAACAACAAACAGTACAACAAACACGCTAGGAGTGCAGAACATAGGACAGGTAAACGAATCACTTAAAAAACACATACAATTAAAACTGAACTATATATATATTTTTTACCAGCTAAAGCCCACTAAGCTTATTTTTCAGAAGCGACCTGGCCGCAAATGATAGCG